CAGTTTTTTGTCTTTCAGTCTTCATGCCAGCTTATTTAAGTTGTTGATCCTCAGCCTTTACTGTATATTTGCCTTTACTAGTTGGATTTTTCCTTTCCTGTAGATTCTTTTTTTTTTTTTTTTTTGTGGTACGCGGGCCTCTCACTGTTGTGGCCTCTCCTGTTGCGGAGCACAGGCTCTGGACGTGCAGGCTCAGCAGCCATGGCTCACGGGCCTAGTTGCTCCGCGGCATGTGGGATCTTCCCGGACCAGGGCACGAGCCCATGTCCCTTGCATCGGCAGGCGGACTGTCAACCACTGCTCCACCAGGGAAGCCCTCTTACTTCTTATTACAGCCTTTCTTTTTCACTTAGAGAAGACTCTTTAACATTTCTCTTATGTTATGTTTAATATTGATGAAGTCTTTTAATTTTTGCTTGTCTAAGAAGTTCTTTATCTCTCCTCCAATTCTAAATGATAATTTTGCTCTGTAGAGTATCCTAATTTGCAGGTTTTCCTTTTCAGGACTTTGAATATATCATGTCACACCCTTTTGGCCCACAAGGTTTCCACAGAATAATCAGCTGATAGCCTTATGGGAGTTCCCTTGTGTATGACTCTACCTTTCTCTCTCTTTTTTAAAAATTAGTTATGTTTTATACATATTAGTATATATATATCAATCCCAATCTCCCAATTATCTTTCTCTTGCTGCCTTTCAAATTCTCCTTTTATCTTAACCTTTTGCCATTTTAATTATCATATATGTCTTGATGTAGTCTTTTTGGGTTCATCTTGTTTGGGGTCCTCTGTGCTTCCTGCATCTGAATTTCTGTTTCTTTTTCAGGTTTGGGAACTTCTCAGCTATAATTTTCAACCCCCCAGTCCCTGGCCATAATCCTTTTATAATTTCAGTTTGGGTTGTTGGTTCCCTGGTCTTGAGATACTACTGCAAGAGTTAGTAAGCTTCTCCAGAGAATTGCCTTTCAGTTATTGAGCTGCCTGGGAGTTACTTGACCCCATCCCCCAGGGTAACCCTTCAGCCAATGCCTAATTGTTAGATGGGTCTAAAAGCCCAGCTCCACTGTCTCAGGTGGGAAAGACTCTGAGGCACAGTTTTTACTCTAGAGTTTCCCTGAAGTATCAGGCTAAGGCTAGAATTTACCTGAAATCATCTTTTCTTTTTTTTTTTTTTTTTTTTTTTTTTTGTTGTTGTTGTAGACGGGCCTCTCACTGTTGTGGCCTCTCCCATTGCGGAGCACAGGCTCTGGATGCACAGGCCCAGCAGCCATGGCTCACGGGCCCAGCCACTCCGTGGCATGCGGGATCCTCCCAGACTGGGGCATGCATCCGTGTCCCCTGCATCAGCAGGCGGACTCTCAACCACTGCGCCACCAGGGAAGCCCTGAAATCATCTTTTCTTTAGCTTTATCTTCCTCCCTATTTTGCTTCTCTTCCTTGCAGGTTCCTCCAGAGACCGCTCCCTAAATAAAGCACTGACAAAAGTATCCTCATTTCAGACCCTGCTTCTAGGAAACCTGACACCGACTGACTAGTCCATAGTTTTTATTAAACAGAAAGATAAATTCTCAATGTAGGTCACTGTAAATTCAGATAAATCTACTTCTTCTGAGACCCCCCAATGCTTAAAGGTCTATAGGGTTTCCAGACCTTTACTAAAATATGTTTTGTGAAGATGAATGATATTTTTTTTCCTGGAATCCTATGATTATTTTTTGAAAATTAATTTTTTTTGGAGTATAGTTGATTTAAAATGTGTTATTTTCTGCTGTACAGCAAAGTGAATCAGTTATACATATATCCTCTCTTCTTTTAGATTCTTTTCCCATATAGGTCATTACAATTCCCTGTGCTATACAGTAGGTTCTTATTAGTTATCTATTTTATATGTAGTAGTTTGTATATGTCAATCCCAAACTCCCAATTTATCCCCCCCTTCCTCCTTGGTAACCATAAGTTTGTCTTCTATATTTGTGACTCTCTGTTCTGTAAATAAGTGCATTTGTACCATTTTTTTAGATTCCACATATAAGCAATATCATATGATATTTGTCTTTCAAATATTTGTCTGATTTACTTCACTCAGTATGACAATCTCTAGGTCCATCCATGTCACTGCAAATGGCATTATTTCGTTCTTTTTTATGGCTGAGTAATATTCCATTGTATATATGTACCACATCTTTATCCATTCATCCATTGATGGTTATTTAGGTTGCTTCCATGTCCTGGATATTGTAAATAGGGCTGCAACGAACATTGGGGTGCATGTATCTTTTTGAATTATTGTTTTCTCTGGATGTATGCCCAGGACTGGGATTGCTGTGTCATATGGTAGCTCTATTTTTAGTTTTTTAAGGAACCTCCATACTGTTCTCCATAGTGGCTGTACCAATTTTCATTCCCACCAACAGTGTAGGAGGGTTCCCTTTTCTCCACACCCTCTCCAGCATTTATTGTTTGTAGATTTTTTGATGATGGCCATTCTGACTGGTGTGAAGTGATACCTCGTTGTAGTTTTGATTTGCATTTCTCTAATAATTAGTGTTGTTGAGCATCTTTTCATGTGCCTCTTTGCCATCTGTATGTATTCTTTGGAGAAAGGTCTATTTAGATCTTCCACCCATTTTTTGATTGAGTCGTTTGTTGTTTTGATATAAAGCTGCATGAGCTGTTCGTATATTTTGGCAATTAATCCCTTGTCGGTTGCTTTGTTTGCAAATATTTTCTCCCATTCTGTGGGTTGTCTTTTTGTTTCATTTATGGTTTCCTTTGCTGTGCAAAAGCTTTTAAGTTTAATTAGGTCCCATTTAGGTTTTTTTGTTTTTATTTTCATTAGTCTAGGAGGTCGATCAAAAAGATATTGCTGTGATTTATGTCAAAGAGTGTTCTGCCTCTATTTTCCTCTAAGAGTTTTATAGTGTCCGGTCTTACATTTAGGTTTTTAATCCATTTTGATTTTATTTTTGTGTATGGTGTTAGAGAATGTCCTAATTGCATTCTTTTACATGTAGCTGTCCAGTTTTCCCAACACCACTTATTGAAGAGACTGTCTTTTCTCCATTGTCCACTTTGTCATAGATTAGGTGACTACAGGTGTGTGGGTTTATCTCTGGACTTTCTATCCTGTTCCATTGAAGAGGAGTGATTTTGGAACCATATGAGTGAGTGAGCAGGAAAAGTGTTTTCTGAAAGTGTTGAAATTATTGTAACACTTTACAAATAAAAGTTCCAGAAGGGATCGAATTTCTTATCACTGAAAGTCTGTTATTAAAAATTAAAACACATATTTGCTGGTATTATTCAATAAATTCTCTTATGGCCTCCATTGATCAACCCCTCTACATTCTTTAAAGATCTAGCTAATTTTCTGTACATAGTCTGCAGAGAGAATACGTGTCATGCTACCTCTCGCAGTATAGTTAGAGGGAGTATATCTGGTATACTAATATCTTAATAATTATTATGTTTTCATTTTGAGAAAAATATTCATCCCAGAACTACTTTGGGGGACTTGCGCATCAGGTCCACTTTAGAAAGAGATAAAAATTCTCCAGCATCTCTGTTCAGTTATTACATTCATATCTCTAAGGGGAATTTTTTTTCACTCATGTAAATTTTACAGCTAGGACATGTTGCTGCTTCAGTATCAGTATCCTATGTTTGGTATTTCTGCCTTATATCTGACATATACGTGTTTTGCTTCTTTCTTCAATTTATTTCTGGTTTTACCTAAGAAAACCTTTAAAATTTTTGGAATGATTTTAGATTTATGAAGAATTTGTGAAGATGCTACCTTGAACTCCCATATATGTTCACTCAGTTTTCCCTAAAGTTAACATCTCATATAACCATGTTGGTACATTACATTTATCAAAACTAAAAAATTAACATTGATACCTTACTATTAACAAACTGTAGGAGTTATTTGGATTTCACCAGTTTTTCCACTAATGTTCTTTTCCTGTTCCAGGATCTAATTCAGGATACTACATTGCTGTTAGTTGTTATGTCTCCCCAGTCTCCTTTGCTGTTTTTGTGTTTCATGACCTTGTCATTTTTAAAGATTATCGGTCAGATATTTTGTAGAACGTCTCTCAGTTTGGATTTCTCTGATGTTTTATCATGATTTAGACTGAGGTTATGAGTTTTAGGAAGATTACCGTAGAGGTAAAGTGCTCTTCTCATCACATCATAGCAGCAGGTACATGGTATCCACTTGACTTCATAACACCAGTGATGTTAACCTTCCTGTTTCATTTTTGATCATTTACTAGACCTTTTAACAACTTGCCTTATTATTTTTTCATTTGTATTGTCTCACAGATCTGGAAAGGCTTATCTTTTTTTGTGTTGTGGTATTTGTGTCTTTTTGGTTTTTATATGCTTTAACTAAGTTTTCTTTTTAATGATGTTCTAACTCTGGGTTTTCACATGTTCTCTTTTGCAAGATAAAATCTCATCACTTAGGTTCACTGACCAACTGATATTGCAACTCATTGCCATCCATGTTTTAACCTGAGAATAATTGGTCTGGAGTAAAACAACTATGCCAAATTTTGTTCAAGGGTCTTCTGTTGAAAAATGTAGGAAGCAGGATGTACATTTCAGGAAAATGGTTAAAATAAGTAATATTTGTGCCTAATGGATTAAGTTAAGCTTCACTGATGTGTAGAGTACCTTATTATCCCCATGATGCTACCTGAGTAGGCATTACAGCATGGCACATCACCTCTTCTTTTAGAAGAGTTTAAAATTCAGTCACATATAGATTTCTAGTGCTATACAACTCCTTAGACTGGGCTTGTTTTTGTGGATATAGTAAGAATGGATAATATAATAAATAAATATTATCATTTTTGATATATTATTGCAGATTTTAAATCACACATAGTCTGAGACATTTTAAGCATTATATGGAGGGATTAGTTGATGTAAAATTGTTGTTTCACTTCTTCTATTACATTTGTCTTCACTCTCAGTTGTTCTGGATTCTCTAGGGACAGGTATCCTATATTATTCCAATAGATGAGAAACTGTATACCGTGCACCTTAGGCAAAGGTAATTTTTTATTCTTTACTTTTAGATTTAATTTTATTTATGTGAATTTACTTATAATAAAAATAGAGTGTTAAAAATAATGTACTTGTTATTAAAAATTTTAGTTGTCTCAGATGAACAGATACTCTCCTGTGAATTAATTTTTTGGTCTTAATGCCTCATAGTCTTTTGTGAATAGGGGGGTTACAAACAGGAAAAATAGGGACTTGTCTCCTGAAGATTAATCTGTATGATCTTAAGTTGGCAGAACCAGCAGGACCTGTATAATCAGGGCAGGTATGTGATAAGAAAGAAGTAAGTCTGTAACTGTATCAGTTAGGGTTTGAACAGGGAGGCAGGCTCACCACCAGGAAAATGAAATAAGGGATTTAATATAGAAATTAGATCATACAGTGTTCTGGAAACTGGTGAATAATTTATGGAAAATAGTACCAGCTATATACCATGCCTAAGAGAATTGTGAACATATTTTAAATAACTTTCTGTAGGGTTTAATTCTCTCTTGGAAACCCAGTAGAGAAAGGCTGGCTTGGAAGCAATTTGTAACTTTCAAGAAGTAGATTTCAGTTAAATATTGGCTGTAGAACTAGACTACGTGGTATTAAGCGGAGGCGAATTGTGAGAAACTGAAAGTATTAAGTGAAAACGACTTTTTCCGAAATGTTCAGCAGAGAAAAAAAGAAGAATATGAACGCTTTTTAAGGAAGAGAAAACAAAGTATTTTGGCTGAGAGGAAGTTTCTTAAAGAGAGAAGTATAAACAAGTGATTCATTGTGTTGTTAGATGCCGAAGAATGGCATTGAGTAAAAGAGTGTTAACCTACCTGCTCCTTTAGACAGAAGGGAAGAATAGTAAATGACATCTCAAAGAACTTTTCAAGTGCATAAGACGGAAAGAGAGAAGTCACATTATATTTGAGTATCTTATTGAAACTATAAGCAGTAGTAAGAAATAGAGGGACTGGAGCTTGGGAGATGGATAGAGCATGTATATACTCTGTTTTTGGAAATTACCTGTATAATAATTAGGGCACCATGACTATAGGAAGTCATAGGAAGCTATTGCAAGAAACTTATATGGGAAATAATGAGAAGTATCATTATGACCATGTAGGATTTCTTTTTTTTTTTTAAGACGTAACTGAGGCGGCAGAAAAAAAGATTAGATAACAGATTGGACATAGTGGTAGCACAGATTTGGTGGGGCAGTGAAGGAGAAGGAGAGCACGTCTGCATCAGGGGATATCCAGGAGAAATGTCCAGTGGCAGTTTGATTGATTGATTGATTGAAGTATAGTTGTCTTACAATATCATATTATTTTCAGGTGTACAATATAGTGATTCTATATTTTTATACATTACAAACCATATAATTACATTATATTGACTGTATTCCCTGCGTTGTACATTGCATCCCTATGACTTACTTATTTTATAACTGGTAGTTCATACCTCTTAATCCCCTTCACTTGTATATTAAAGGCCATTTATGACAAACCCACAGCTAACATCATACTCAATGATGAAAAGCTGAAAGCTTTTCCTCTAAGGCCAGGAATAAGACAAGGATGCCCCCTCTCACCACTTTTATTCAACACAGTATTGGAAGTCCTAACCATAGCAATTAACAAGAAATAATATGCATCCACATTGGAAGGGGAGAACTAAAATGGTCACTATTTACAGATGGTAGGATAACATAGAAAACCCTACAGACTCCACCAAAAAGCTATTAGAACTAATAAATGAATTCAGTAAAGCTGCAGGATACAAATTAATATACAGACCTGTACTCTGAAAGCTGTAAGACATTGATAAAGAAATTGAAGAGAACATCAATAAATGGAAAGATATACCATGCTTATGCACTGGAAGAATTAATATTGTTAAAATGTCCATACCACTAACCAAGGCAATCTACAGATTCAGTCCAATCCCTATCAAAATACTCATGCATTTTTCACAGAAGTAGAACAAATAGTCCTAAAATTTGTATGAAACCACAGAGGACCCCAAATAACCAGTTATATTTAGTTCAGGTCATGCGAGAGAGGTGTGGGTTTCAGAGCCATCTTTTGTATATAGGTATAAATGAGGTACCAGAAATGAATAAGATACAGAGGTGGGGGTGAATATTAATGATGAGAAGGAAAAACAACCAGAATTGAAGGCCATGGAAGCATTTAAGTGAAGAAGTAAGGATCCAGATGAAGGGACTTACAAAAGTAGACAAAAAGATATGAGGGAAACTAGAGGTAAATGGTATGATTGAAGTTGAAGAGTAAATGTTTTAAAGAAGGGGAGTGTGGTCAAGTGTGTTAGAGTAGTTTTACGTGACTCAAACTGCTTTTTGGATTTAACAGCAAGCGGGTCATTAGTAATCTCTATGGCAACTGTTTTAATGGAGGATTCCCAGCAGAAGCTAGACTGCGTGGTCTAGTTATATTACATTGGATTGAGGAGTGAGCACCAGGTGAGAAAGCATAAATAAAATAGCATAATAAGGACAGGGAATGATACCAGAGAAGGTTGAACTTAGACTTGTAGTTTCAACACTTATGTTCTGGTTAGTATGACTTTTACAGAATACTCTTCCACTTCATTATAGTAATATATATTTAATAGTAAAATTGAGAGAGAATGAAAGAATAGGGAATTCCCTGGTGACACAGTGGTTAAGAAACCGCTTGCCAGTGCAGGGGACATGGGTTTGAGCCCTGGTCCGGGAAGACCCCACATGCTGCGGAGCAACTAAGCCCGCGAGCCACAACTACTGAGCCTGCACTCTAGAGCCCGCAAGCCACAACTACTGAGCCCGCATGCCACAACAACTGAAGCCCACACACTTAGAGCCTGTGCTCCGCAACAAGAGAAGCCACCACAATGAGAAGCCCACGTGCTGCAACGAAGAGTAGCCCCCGCTCGCTGCAACTAGAGAAAGCCCACGCGTAGCAACGAAGACCCAACGCAGCCAAAAATAAATAAATAAATGAATAAAAATTTAAAAGAAATGAATGAAAGAATAGAAAACTCTCATAATCCTACACCCATTTTGTATCTTTGTAAATTTTAAAATGCTTTTCTCTTGTCTTGTAGTCTCTTCTTATTTTTTAAAGGAGTATATAAGATAGGAAAATTATTTTGAGTAAATGCTTATTGCTTTGAATAAAGATTACATACAGGTCAAAAGAAGATACTACCTTTGTCAGGGATTGGCAAACTTTTTCTTTAAAGGCCCAGATAGTAAATATTTTAGGCTCTGAGAATGATAATATCTTTGTCAAAATGACTCAACTCTGCTGTTGTAGTGTGAAACTGCCATAAACCATATATAAGTGGATGGGTATGGCTGTGTTCAAATAAAATTTTATTCACAAACGCAGAAGGTAGGTCAGATTTGGCTTGAGGGATTTAAGTTTGCTGACTACTGCTTTACATGTTTCAAAAAGAATAACTTAAAATTATCTCACTCTTTTTTTATATTCAGATTTTTTTTAGCAGATAATTTCATGGTTTATTTGTATAATCAAGGATCTGTGAATTCTCATTCTTCAAATATTCAGGTAAGATTTAAATTTCGTATTTCAAAAAATTTTAAAACCCTTTTTACATTGCATACTTTCCTAATACAGAAGACTCTATTCACAGGGCATGTATTTAAGTGATCCACTTATGCCTCATTTCACCCATTATTAGGCTTTCTTGAAGTCTTGGTAAATTAAAGACAAACTAGATTGACTTACCTTCTACTTTGCCTAGAACGTAGGCACAGTTAAATTAATTAGTTTATATTTTGTTGAATAAATGAATATACATTAAATAATAATAAAAAACAAGTACAAATCTTACTGAATCTGAAATCATAGATTGAAATCCTTTCCTTCTTTTTTAGTGCCTGTCTCATCCATCAATGAATCATATTGACTCTACCTTTCAAATTATGTACTAAGAATCCACCCTCTTCCTCTGTCTCTATCTGCTGATACCACTGTAAACATCATATCTAGTTTGGATTATTGCTATAACTTCCAGAATAATCTCCCTGCTTCCACACCTTGCTCACCTCCTCAGTTAGATCCCAACATGACAACCAGATCAATCCTATTAAAACCTGGTCAGATCATATCACTTCTCTGTTCAGAAGCCTCCATGGGATGATTTATCATTCACAAAGTAAAAACCAAAGTCGTTTTAGTATCCTACAGGCTTTACACAGTCTGGTTCTCTTTACTTCTATGACCTTATTTCCAGTTACTCTCTACCTTGCTTATTCTGTTCCTTGGTTTCCTTGCTGTTCTTCAAATATACCAGACATGTCCTCCTTTCAAGAAATTTTCACTTTCTATTTCTTCTGATCCAGATGTTTGCTCTTTCCCAAGATACAGTGTTTTTCTCCCTCATTTCCTTCAGGTCTTTGCTCAAAACCATCCTGTTAGTCCTTGACTAACCCCTATTTTATTTATTATTATTATTATTATTATTATTTTTTTTTGCGTACGCAGGCCTCTCACTGTTGTGGCCTCTCCCATTGCGGAGCACAGGCTCCGGACGCGCAGGCTTAGCGGCCATGGCTCACGGGCCTAGCCGCTCTGCCGCATGTGGGATCTTCCCGGACCGGGGCACGAACCCGCGTCCCCTGCATCGGCAGGCGGACTCTCAACCACTGCGCCACCAGGGAAGCCCTATATATAGTTTTTAAGTAGGGTTTTACTTATATTAGGTTAACATTCTGTTCAACTCTTCTATAGATTCTGATTGCTAGATTTATCAGTTACTGACAGAAATGTATGTGCTTAAAAATCTTTTAGTATGATTATGCATTTATTTTTATTCTTTCAGTTTGGGCTTTTTATAATTTGAAGCTATGTTATTAAATAAATACAAACTTGGAATATTTATATCTTCCTGGTGAATTGAAACTCATGTATCATTATGAAATGTCCCTCTTTATCTCTAGTAATGCTTCTTGCCTTAAAGTCTACATTTCCTGTATTAGTATTGCTTCAAAATCATCCTTTTGGTTTGTGTTGGTGTGGTCTGTCTTTTTCTAGCTCTTCAATCTTTTTGTGCCCTTAAATTTTAGATGTTTCTTTTTAGCAGAATATCAGAATTTAAAGGAAATCCATACTCACAATCTTTGTCTTTTAATTGATGACCTAAATTTATATATTGGAAAATAATTTTCCCTAAAATATGGGATAAAACTTTGGAAGCAGGATGTAAAATATTAATCCCAAGTATTGATCTGAAAAGAGTAGTTAATATAGTGAAAGTGGCAAATATGGGGAGACTTTTTTCTGAATGTCACTTTATTCATACTGATATAAACTGTTTATAGCCTGTGAAAAATATTCAGAAAGTTCTATTAAGTATAATAAGTTAAGAAATCATTAGAAAGTTTTGTCAACTCCTAGGTAACCACTTTATATTTTCCCCCCTAGACTCAATGCTACTACCAAGGATATATTGAAGGATATCTGAATTCTGTTGTCACACTTAGCACGTGCTCTGGACTGAGGTTATGTATTTTTTTGTCGTTAATATGCAGACACCATGGTTATGATATTTGTCTGCAGAGAATTTGTTAGTTTATACTAAGTGTGGAGCTGGTAGAGGATTCCCATGTGGAGATTATTCAGTGAATAATGATAATAATAATAATAATAATCTCTTCCTCTGAATATGTTTCTTCTCTGATTTCTCCTTACTTTCCCCACTGACCAGAGACATGTCTAACTTCTTGAAGGTTTAGATTTCCTGGTGTCTTTGCTCTGTATCTTGTTTCTTCTTTAGTACAGAAATGACAGTTGACCTTGTTTGACTATAGCAAGTTGGAAGAGCTAAGTTTCGGGTAGCTTATTTTTTCAGCAAATAGAGTATTTTTGATACCTACCATGTACCAGCTACTGGCCTAGTGTTTGGAGGTGTAAAAATAAATGAACAAAGCATGTTCTTTCACAAAGGGAAATCATCTTCAGAGAGAGGAAGCACTTCTATATAAACAAATAAGTATTATTATGGTACTCATTTTTCTAGTAATATCACTATATTAATCTCTCTAAGAACTGTAGGGTTTCCTCTTTAGTGCTTGGAGAGTTTTCCGTTCTGTCAAGATATTCTTCACCTTCATTTTGTAGTGTAGGAGCCTTGTTTCCACAAACGAATTTTACTCAGTGCTTTTTACATGGAATTCTGAAATTTGGTTTTTAGAGAGTAGTCACTTGAACTGTTACCCGTATTCAAGGAAGAATACTTATAAAAGTTGTTTACTCTTTAAAATTTAGCTTTTAATTTCTTATTCAGACTAGGTACATAAACAAAATTCATAAATGCCTTCTTCTAATTATTGCTGAATTTTATTTTTATGAATAAAATTACTGATTATATATCCTTTTTTTTATGAAAGCAATGTAATCATTGCAGCGCAAAACAAAAAGAAATTTATACAGATTTCTATTTGCTATTGCTTTCATTAAATTACTGACTTGGGGGACAGGAGAATGACTTGATCACAGTAATGCTGTGTACTTGCTAGCAACTGATTACATAATTTGTGCTGCGTTTATAACTATAAAGTAAATTAAATGGAAAGTTACTTTTTTGGATTGGGGAAGACCTTTTTTTTATCTCTTCAGAGTCATCTCCAGAACATAAAGAGTTTGGGTCAAAATACTGAGCTCAAAAACATTCTGCATCTTTCTTCGCAGTCTCCTCCTCCCCCTCCTTCTCGTCCTCCTCCTCCTCCTCCTCCTCATTTTTTAAGAATTCTGTCAGTTTTATGATATAGAATTAATTAAAAGCACTTAAATTTTTATCCCTAATTTTACAGAGGAATATTGCAGTTTGAAAATCTTTCTTATGGAATTGAGCCTCTGGAATCTGCAGTTGGATTTCAGCATCTTCTTTATAAATTAGGAAATGAAAACAATGAATTTGCAGTTCTTACTGAAAATAACCAAGACACAGAACAAAACCCAATGGACTATAATATTTTCATAAGTGAAAAAGTGAGTTATGTATGCTTTATTACCCTTTCAAGGCAGCTATTGCTTTTATTTACTTATTAATTTAATTTATTTTTTCACATCTTTATTGGAGTATAATTGCTTTACAATGGTGTGTTAGTTTCTGCTTTATAACAAAGTGAATCAGCTATACATACACATATATCCCCATATATATCTCCTCCCTCTTGCGTCTCCCTCCCTCACTCCATATCCCACCCCTCTAGTTGGTCACAAAGCACCGAGCTGATCTCCCTGTGCTATGTGGCTGCTTCCCACTAGCTATCTGTTTTACATTTGGCAGTGTATATATGTCCATGCCACTCTCTCACTTTGTCCCAGCTTACCCTTTCCCCTCCCCATGTACTCAAGTCCATTCTCTACGTCTGCATCTTTATTCCTGTCCTGCCCTTAGGTTCTTCAGAACCTTTTTTTTTCCTTTAGATTCCATATATATGTGTTAGCATACGGTTTTTGTTTTTCTCTTTCTGACTTACTTCACTCTGTATGACAGACTCTGAGTCCATCCACCTCACTACAAATAACTCAAATTCGTTTCTTTTTATGGCTAGTATTCCATTGTATATATGTGCCACATCTTCTTTATCCAGTCATCTGTTGATGGACATTTAGGTTGCCTCCATGTCCTGGCTATTGTCAGTAGAGCTGCAGTGAACATTGTGGTACATGAGTCTTTTTGAATTATTGTTTTCTCAGGGTATATGCCCAGTAGTGGGATTGCTGGGTTGTATGGTAGTTCTATTTTTAGTTTTTTAAGGAACCTCCATACTGTTATCCATAGTGGCTGTATCAATTTACACTCCCACCAACAGTGCAAGAGGGTTCCCTTTTCTCTACACCCTCTCCAGCATTTATTGTTTGTAGACTTTTTGATGATGGCCATTCTGACTGGTGTTAGGTGATATACCTCATTGTAGTTTTGATATGCGTTTCTCTAATGATTAGTGATGTTGAGCATCCTTTCATGTGTTTGTTGACAATCTGTATATCTTCTTTGGAGAAATGTCTGTTTAGGTCTTCTGCCCATCTTTGGATTGGGTTGTTTGTTTGTTTGTTTGTTTTTATCAAGTCATTTTTTAAAATATTTATTTATTTATTTTTAGCTGTGTTGGGTCTTCGTTTCTGTGCGAGGGCTTTCTCTAGTTGTGGCAAGTGGGGTCCACTCTTCATCGCGGTGCGCGGGCCTCTCACTGTCACGGCCTCTCTTGTTGTGGAGCACAGGCTCCAGACGCGCAGGCTCAGTAGTTGTGGCTCACGGGCCTAGTTGCTCCGCGGCATGTGGGATCTTCTCAGGCCAGGGCTCGAACCGGTGTCCCCTGCATCGGCAGGCGGAATCTCAACCACTGCGCCACCAGGGAAGCCCCGGGTTGTTTGTTTTTTTGATATTGAGCTGCATGAGCAGCTGGTAAATTTTGGAAATTAATCCTTTGTCAGTTGCTTCATTTGCAAATATTTTCTCCCATGCTGAGGGTTGTCTTTTCATCTTGTTTATGGTTTCCTTTGCTGTGCAAAAGCTTTTAAGTTTCATTAGGTCCCATTGGTTTATTTTTGTTTTTATTTCCATTCCTCTAGGAGGTGGGTCAAAAAGGATCTTGCTGTGGTTTATGTCATAGAGTGTTCTGCCTATGTTTTTCTCTAAGAGTATTATGGTGTCTGGCCTTACATTTAGGTCTTTAATCAATTTTGAGTTTATTTTTGTGTATGGTGTTACGGAGTGTTCTAATGTCATTCTTTTACCTGGAGCTGTCCATTTTTCCCAGCACCACTTATTGAAGGGGCTGTCTTTTCTCCATTATATATTCTTGCCTCCTTTATCAAAAATAAGGTGACCATATGTGGGTCGGTTTATCTCTGGGCTTTCTATCCTGTTTCATTGATCTGTATTTCTGTTTTTGTTCCAGTACCATACTATCTTGATTACTATAGCTTTGTAGTATAGTCTGAAGTCAGGGAGCATGATTCCTCCAGCTTCATTTTTCTTTCTCAAGACTGCTTTGGCTATTCGGGGTCTTTTGTGTTTCCATACAAATTGTGATGTTTTTAGTTCTAGTTCTGTGAAAAATGCCATTGGTAGTTTGATAGGGATTGCATTGAATCTGTAGATTACTTTGGATAGTATAGTCATTTTCACAGTGTTGATTCTTCCAATCCAAGAACATGGTATATCTCTCCATCTGTTGGTATCATCTTTAATTTCTTTCAACAGTCTTTTATAGTTTTCTGCATACTGGTCTTTTGTCTCCTTAGGTAGGTTTATTCTTACATATTTTATTATTTTTGTTGCAATGCTAAATGGTAATGTTTCCTTAATTTCTCTTTCACATTTTTCATCACCAGTGTATAGGAATGCAAGAGAATTCTGTGCATTAAATTTGTATCCTGCTACATTACCAAATTCATTGATCAGCTCTAGTAGTTTTCTGGTAGCATCTTTAGGATTCTCTACATATAGTATCATGTCATCTGCAAACAGTGACAGCTTTACTTCTTTTCCAACTTGGATTCCTTTTATTTCATTTTCTTCTCTGATTGCTGTGGCTAAAACTTCCAAAACTATGTTGAATAATGGTGGTGAGAGTGGGCAACCTTGTCTTGTTCCTGATCTTAGAGGAAATGGTTTCAGTTTTTCACCATTGAGAACGATGTTGGATGTGGGTTTGTCATATATGGCCTTTACTATGTTGAGGTAAGTTCCCTGTATGCCTACTTTCTGGAGGGTTTTTATCATAAATGGGTGTTGAATTTTGTCGAAAGCTTTTTCTGCATCTATTGAGATGATTATATGGTTTGACTCCTTCACTTTGTTAATATGGTGTATCACATTGATTGATTTGTGTATATTGAAGTATCCTTGCATTCCTGGGATAAACCCCACTTGATCATGGTGTACGATCCTTTTAATGTTCTGTTGGATTCTGTTTGCGAGTATTTTGTTGAGGATTTTTGCATCTATGTTCCTCAGTGATATTGGCCTGTAGTTTTCTTTCTTTGTGACATCTTTATCTCATTTTGGTATCAGGGTGATGGTGGCCTTGTAGAATGAGTTGGGGAGTGTTCCTCCCTCTGCTATATTTTGCAAGAGTTTGAGAAGGATAGGTGTTAGCTCTCCTCTAAATGTTTGATAGAATTCGCCTGTGAAGCTATCGAGTCCTGGGCTTTTGTTTTTTGGAAGATTTTTAATCACAGTCGCAATTTCAGTGCTTATGATTGGTCTGTTTATATTTTCTATTTCTTCCTGGTTCAGTCTCGGAAGGTTGTGGTTTTTAAATATTTGTCCATTTTTTCCAAGTTGTCCATTTTATTGGCATATAGTTGCTTGTAGTAATCTTCATGATCCTTCATATTTCTGCAGTGTCAGTTTTTACTTCTCCTTTTTCATTTCTAGTTCTATTGATTTGAGTCTTTCCCTTTTTTTCTTGATGAGTCTGGCGAATGGTTTATCAATTTTTTTTATCTTCTCAAAGAACCAGCTTTTAGTTTTATTGACCTTTGCTATCGTTTTCATCATTTCTTTTTCATTTGCTTCTGATCTGATCTTTATGATTTCTTTCTTTCTGCTAACTTTGGGGTTTTTTTGTTCTTCTTTCTCTAATTGATTTAGATGTAAGGTTAAGTTGTTTATTTGAGATGTTTCTTGTTTCTTGAGGTAAGATTGTATTGCTATAAACTTCTGTCTTAGAACTGCTTTTGCTGCATTCCATAGGTTTTAGGTCATCGTGTCTTCATTGTCATTTGGTTCTAGGTATTTTTTGATTTCCTCTTTGATTTCTTCAGTGATCTCTTGGTCATTTAGTAGTGTATTGTTTAGCATCCATCTGTTTGTATTTTTTACAGATTTTTCCCTGTAATTGATATCTAGTCTCATAGCGTTGTGGTTGGAAAAGATAGTTGATATGATTTCAATTTCCTTAAATTTCCCAAAGCTTGATTTGTGACCCAAGATATGATCTGTCGTGGAAAATGTTCCATGAGCACTTGAGAAGAAAGTGTATTCTGTTGTTTTTGGGTAGAATGTCCTAGAAAGATCAATTAAGTCCATCTTGTTTAATGTATCATTTAAAGCTTGTGTTTCCTTATTTATTTTCATTTTGGACGATCTGTCGATTGGTGAAAGTGGAGTGTTAAAGTCCCCTACGATGATTGTGTTACTGTCAATTTCCCCTTTTATGGCTGTTAGCATTTGCCTTATGTATTGAGGTGCTCCTATGCTGGGTGCATAAATATTGACAGTTGTTATATCTTCTTCTTGGATTGATCCCTTGATCATTATGTAGTGTCCTTCTTTGTCTCTTCTAATAGTCTTTATTTTAAAGTCGATTTTGTGTGGTATGAGAATTGCTACTCCAGCTTCCTTTTGATTTCCATTTGCATGGAATATCTTTTTCCATCCCCTCACTTTCTGTCTCTGTGTGTCCCTAGGTCTGAAGTGGGTCTCTTGTAGAGAGCATATGTACGGGTCTTGTTTTTGTATCCGTTCAGCCAATCTATGTCTTTTGGTTGGAGCATTTAATCCATTTACATTTAAGGTAGTTATCGATATATATGTTTCTATTACCATTTTCTTAATTGTTTTGGGTTTGATATTGAAGGTCTTTTCCTTCTCTTGTGTTTCCTGCCTAGAGAAGTTCCTTTAGCATTTGTTGTAAAGCTGGTTTGGTGGTGCTGAATTCTCTTAGCTTTTGCTTGTCTGTAAAGGTTTTAATTTTTCCCTCGAATCTGAATGAGATCCTTGCTGGGTAGAGTAATCTTGATTGTAGGTTTTTCCCTTTCATCATTTTAAATATGTCCTGCCACTCTCTTGTGCCTTGCAGCGTTTCTGCTGAAAGATCAGCTGTTAACCTTATGGGGATTCCCTTGTATGTTATTTGTTGTTTTTCCCTTGCTGCTTTTAATATTTTTTCTTTGTATTTAATTTTTGGTAGTTTGATTAGTATTTGTCTTGGCGTGGGCTTCCCTGGTTGCGCAGTGGTTGAGAGTCCGCC